TATTTGATGGTCAAGGATTTGAAAGAGATAGGCAACATATTTATATCCCTTATCGAACCCTATGTCGATTTACACTATATCGAGCATAATTCTTTCTTTCGAATGCTTAAAATAAGTCACGAAATTCATACAACTACCGTGTACAATAATTGTAGAGAAAATATAATCATATAAATCAATCAAAATCCAAAAATGTGTTTTCAATGTCAAATACGTAAAACTAAAAATTAAAAACAAATATTACAAGATTTATTGTTTTTCTAGTACAAAGAAATCCAGTCTAACATGTTATGAAGAAGAAAACAAGAATTATATAGAGTAGACATTACCCCAATTATGAATTTTGATTGGATCTTGACGTCGTGTAATCTCTCTCGATGTTTCTTACCGTCTTCTATGCTCTCCAATGCGTTGTAATGTGTTTCTGGACGACCCTAGGTCTTAAAAGACATTCCCAATATTGTTTCTATAAGAGTTGGAATCATATGAGAAAATTAGAAATTTTCCTCTGAAAATATACCATGCTACTCCATAGTACAATCACATGCTATAACATAGTTCAACCAACTTCATCTTTGGAATTCCCTGCACCCTACTATGCGACCGCATCATTAAACATGCTATACAACCGCATACATGAAGAACGATCCCCTTTTTGCGTTTTAGTTCCCTAACTCAGTTTTATCATTAATTGATTTCTTTTCTCGCTTCTTCTTTTTCCAATATTTCATTCATTCTCTCAATTGGTTTTTGAATCTTTCACATCTTCGTTTCTTCTTTCGGATAATCTTTTGGCTATTTGTATTTTGGTCCCCACACTCTGACTTTTTTTCATTTTAGTCATTTTTTGCTAGTTTCCCCTAAATTCCAACATATTCATCAATGCTAGAATTAAACCATATTCTAATATATTTACCAACAATCAAACATGTTTTGTGGCCTTAATAAGTGTGTAAAACGCACTTATCATCTATAACTCTATGTTGTTTCATTGGGAACTTATTTCT